ATGTAATTTGGCACCGCCAATTCCACAATCAGTTGTTGAGAACTCCAACAAAAAGTTGAAGACCGGAAAGGAAAGTGAAGGTGGGCGCTTAAGTTTCATTATTCAATCGGCAACTGAAAAATCTCGATTACATGGCGCCCGCAGAACTCGTTTGAAAAGTAGTTCGGGCTTTGCACCTTCGCTTTCCAACACTCTTCTTGAACATGACAAGCTCATTCCATCTCAGATGACGCACCATCATTAAACTCTTCAGGCGTGGCGACAGAAGCTCATCTCCCTGAAGTAATGCATTATAGATGGGAAATCGTTTATGCATCCGGAGTTAAAATTACACGAGAAAGGAGAAACTGCTCATCAAAACTCGGTTAATCAAAAATTTAAATTCACATCGTTCTGTAATAACATCATTTACACAGTCGTTGGAATTAGTTTCCACAATACAGAACTGCGGCTGTAACTCAATTACCAATAAGTTAGAATCTTGAAGCACCAAAACCCATCACTCAAATTTCATGCATGCAATGCACATGTAAATGAGTGACGAATTTTATTCTATAACAAGAAAAGAACTCGTTTGAACCGATCAAGCAAGGCGATAATTCAAGAGTCGAAGGTTATAAACTTATATTGGTGTTTAAGAACCGCGTTTATCATTGTGGTTGCACTTCCTCTGTTACTTCATGTTTAGCTGTTACAGTCGTAGCAGGGTCAACCATGGATTAGAGAATTTGGCCGTTCTATCGTTCAAAGTTTAGTCTTTATTTTATAAGTAGTCTAAATACGGTGAAAGAACAATATTAGAATATTTATCCACATGAGCAACTAATCTACATGGTAGTATTACAAATGATAGCCCAGTCAAACAGGTCTTCATCGATCGACGAAAATTTATGTGGTTCGTTCAAGAATATTAATGTGGTAGTAGTACAAGTAACAATATTACTGATAAGAATCAACTCAGCAAAGTATCAATCAACTTTTACATTACTCTCAGTTACTTCTTCGCCTATTAGTTTATTAGTTTAGAATTAGAACATATTTCTCACAATAATTCAACAGAATAGGAACCAACTTAAGGGATCTGAAGATTTCAAAATTTTAATCTCGTAGGCGTACAAACGTTTACTCGAAGCGAAGGTATTGGATAAAAGTTACAACAAGATAAATAAAAATCTTGTGAGTAACATGGTTTCAAAAAAATATACTTAGGACAAATAGAAACGAATCACAAGATTTGTGCATATATGACAAGATAGCTTCTTTCTCTTGGGGAATTGGTCAATTTCGTGCTCAGAGGCCGAGTCTAAGCACAAAATTTTCAGATTCATAAGTGATGCTTGTTTTACCAGCCGCTACTAGAACTTTACATTGTATTGGTATCAAAAAGTTATCAAGTTCATTCCTGGGTCCCACTTACTCATCATAGCGGTTATTCACATCTTTTTAGCGCATTTTCTCATTTAATGAAAAAATGCCCTATTGTGCTCGTCATGTCCGTCCGTCCGTCCGTCTGTCCGTGACTTCACGTTTTCGTCGATTCTGAGAAAATGTACTCTCTGTCACTCACTGCAGTGAGTACTGAGTTATATTTTATCTTACACTTTCGGGAAAGGACGTATATCTTTGTTTCATATATCAAATGCGTTTACGAAATCGAATGTTTATTTGCACCACATAACCACGAGGGACCATGCCCATCAACCGGCTGTTTTGAAAATGGAAATACCTCGTTTTTATAGCCCTTTATTCTCCTTAATGGGTTGCGCTTTCTTATATAGCCATTGCATTATAGAAACTATTTTCTTTATATGACCTTCCGGTCAGTTATTCGAATTTAGTCACCTGAGAAGTTATTTTACATGAGTAATTAGGCACTTCAAGGAGGAGAAATGTTAATTCCGAGAAAAACGTACCTTCACCTTATAGATGTCACGGATTCAATTCTTTTTACCTCATTTTCTCATTCATGGAAAAAATGCATTATTGTGCTCGCCATGTCCGCCCGTCTGTCTGTCCCTGTCCGTCTGTCTGTCCTTCCGTGACTTCACATTTTCGTCGACGAGAAAATGCGCTCTCTGTCACTCACTGCAGTGAGTACTGAGTTATATTTTTTAGGTCTTGAGAAGCAATACGGACACCCGCAGGCCACGACATGTTGATTCTTCCACTCGTCACGTCGGTTGTGCACACATGAGTCGGGGTGCCATGTTCCTTACGGCGCTCCGAACATCTCGCTGGCGAAAGTGGTGCAGATGCTGGGAAAGTTTCTGCCGTTAACCTTCCTGGGTACGAGGCTAAGAATAAATTACAGAAGCTGTTGTTTGATGTAATTAAAATGAGTTATGTCGAAGTTTTCTATCCTGTAATTCTAAACTTTTTGAGTTTGAGGCTAAAGCACAGTGATAAATTAGTCATGCATGCTAATTTGTATCAAATTATAAATAATGAACGTATTAGCGATATTATTTTAAATTTATTATTTGTATTAACGAATAAAGATTTTGTCGTAAAGCCCTATGTCTTTCAGTATAAGCAATAAGTGAACCAATAGGCCACCACATGTTATAATTTTTTCAGAGGGCCGTGAAGCGACCATGTCACCCTCACGTCTCCATTTCACAATTAAAATGAGTAAAATGAAAGGTAAAAAATAAAAAAGTAAAGTTAAATTCTCAGTATTCTTGTTTGGAACGTTTTACCTTTTGTTAACCTGTTCATAAAATGACATATTTCTAAAAAAACGCATAATCTACGTAGCAAGGTTTCAAATTTTGCTTAGCAATATAAGTTATCAAATTATTGCTCATGCATTGTTCAATAAAGCAGAATGTTATTCCTGAATTCCATTATTTGTATTCCTGAATACAAATAATGAGGAGGGAATGACGCAAAACAAACTATTGAGAATTGCATGCCATGACGCTATACAATTAAGTTATTCGAACTGTCATTCCGGGAAACAGGTAATTCGATCATAGACTCAATTACGCGCGCATGTTTATTTAAATTCATTTAAATTAGCCTAATAAAGGACGATCCTCTTTTTGGTGTATTATATCACAGACATCGAATTAAGTAAATAGATAATAGCATTTTGTAACGCACGAACGCCTGTCATTGCTGGAGCTAACGGTCCTACACCGTTTAGTAGACAGGAAGCCGGGGCTCCAGTCATATAATTACAGTATAAGGTCTCGTTTACATGCCGTGCAATTAGTTATTTAATTCTTGATTGATGATTAACCAATTGAATGAATAACCAATGTTAATCCATGATTAGCCAATTTTGTGGCTATTGGAATGTGGTAATATTTAAAAGACAGTGATACATGGAATCCAAATATAAAGACTCTTTGATTATTAGCTTCATTATTCATTATTATCTTTACTAAATATCAAAGATAAATACGGCTCTTATCACTTAGAAAAGAACTTTGAGATTCTTGGGCCTTGAGAGAATGCAGCAAGGAAGTCACTGGCAATGAAACCTAAATTTATATAGTTCTAACCCGATTAAATAAAAACCACTCATCGCAAGAACAATAAATGGTTCTTATATTATTAGAATTTACAGAATACAAATATTTCGTCAGGCGTGACCGTGCCTCATGTAGCCTTGGCATAACATCCTTGTTGCTGCAATTCCACACCCACTTTAAGGTTCAATAAAACCTAAATGCGCGTTATAAATTAGGATAATTTTGTGAAGGAATATCTTGCGTTCGAACTTCCCTTGGTTGTTAGTGACTTAGTGCATGATAAACTTCGCACGTCGGAATATTAACATGCGTTCAACAATAATCATGCTTAAAAATTCATCTTAAAGACCTAACATCACTGAATATTAATGTAATACATACATAGATATGTTATTATATAGTAGTCAATAATTTATAAATAAAACAATAAAATAAACTGGAAGATCCGGGCAGAGAATTTTCTGAAAAGATTATTGCAGAATTCGCAGTGAAACGAAATTAGTGACTCAAAACATGAGCGACACGCGAAACTTCAAAGAGATTGCGAAATAATCATAATCTTTGATTATGAGGCCATTCTCTCAGGTTCTGCCATCGTCGCAAAACTCATTACAAAAAGCAATAAAATAAATAAAATAAAAATAGATATATAAGAAATATATGTCGCCGGTGTCTACACAATTCAGCTCCTGCCACACAAATATTATTCTTGATAAATTAACAATTTTTCTTTTTGAATCCGGTAACTGATTTAAAAAGATTTCAGTCAATCAACAAAATTCACAACAATTTTCGTGTAATTCGAGGTGGCCTAGCCGAATGATTATGCTCGCGTTATTTCATCATATGTTTTATTCATTGATTTGTATAGAGTTCATCTTGAATTCAAGATTCTTCGTTTTTCATCCAAAACCAGCTAATTTGGTGACATCCATATTGTTTTAAAATTTACAATTAGTAAAAGTGGTTGGATTTCGGCGAAAATCATTCTAGCTGCTAAGTAAAGAGGATATATATATTAGAATTAAGTCATGATTAGAAAAATTTATTATTATATTCTGGGGACACGACACGGGAATTTTTTGAAGCCCTCGAATAGTTAACTGCTTAGTAAATATTTTTATCACATTATCATCGAATAACCAGCGTGGAATTAACGAAGCGCACTTAGGGTATGCAGCTTCATTTGGTATGTCGTTATTACTAAACCCATCGCTACGACGAGCATGTGCCGAAAAAGCCATCCGCAAAATGTTTCAAGAACAATTCGAACTTTTTCAATATAATCTGCGAATATTTTGCGCTGAAACACAAAAATACCTAGATGGTTTCAAAGCGTGTTTTGACATTGCGAATCAAACAGCCAATCATAATGAAGGCCAAGCGATAACCAGTTTATATGCTCCCTGTTCTGTGGTTAATTCCGAGCTGACGGTACTCGTGAGAAGCTTTGATTTTAGTATCTCGGTTAAACAGGTTGCCTTATTTGCGGGAGCATGAGAGACTTCCCTCAGTGCTTCACGGGACTTCATACAACGAGGGTGTGATATCTAGACCTCGAGAATGGCCGTATTCTATGCTTGGGTAAGAGCAACCGGCTTCATCTGGATGGAGAATCGGTTCAGTCATTCATGACATATGAGGTCTAAATTTTTTCTCGAGTTACTAATAAAAAATTGAATCGGTTCATTAATCAATGACCAGAATTGGCTCAAATTTTGGTAAAAATAACAATACCGAAAAAACTAATTGCTATATTCTTGAAAAAGCATCAAATGAGTACATTCTTCGAGACCCTAACTCCGAAGCATTCCTTTATGTACCAAAGGAAATCTTGGCTCGTGAGCGTTGAATCTTCGTGTCAATTGTTTCGTGCGGTTTCTTGCAATATTTTTCCGATGATATTCACTTGTTTCTGCAACAATATCCATGTAATAAGAACACGGAGTTCATTGGACGTCTTCTACGAATTAACATTGTAACAAATTTGGACACAGCGACGATTGATGAAAAAATTTCACTATGATATCGGCTCACGATCTTCGATCGTCCTCAATAATGAATTTTCAATGATACGCATGATAAACGAGGAGTTATCAAATGAAAACTGCAAGAATAAACGGTTATACCTCGGGGACTAATTTCCGAGAAAGGAAATAATTTAATCAATTGATTTGAATAAGCATTAACATTTCACCAGATGTGTCTGCCTACACTTATTATCGTTTAGATAATTATGCACGCATTGATCAATCAAGATAACAATTGACTTCTGCTCTATTTCCATCCCGCGTAAATCCCTTAAGACCATAGTTCATAATGCTTGTCATTATATAAAGAAAGTAAGTTTTAATATAAGTTGTAATCAACAAATTATCTGCATACGCGAAACCTCTTTCTCCTGTGGAACAAATTGAAAGATTGCAAATAACGAAGCCTTTCTTGTGGGATTGAACGAAGCATTCCAGCAATTATTCTGCCATTAAAGGCGTTTTAATCATCTCGAAAGTTACCTCGGCGGAGCGTCGTCTTGATTTCTCGCTCTCAATCCATAACAACGCTTCAATTTCCATGAAACCTTTGCACTCATCATCTACCGGAACGAATATATAAAGTAATAAAAAAATACGTGAAGCAAATCCTTTACATCTCATGGATGAAGAATATTGCGAAAAAACATTATGCGAATAAAAGTTTCGCATTGAATCTAACACCCTTTAAAAAAAGTTAACTATGCTTGCAGAGAATAGACGCTAAAAGAAACAAGATTGCAAATTATCTGATTGTTGCGTATTGCCACCAAGCTCGATTAGAGAATAAGTCATTTGGCGAGGTTCGTAAGAAGTTGTAGGCATGTAATTAACTTAAGCTGCTTGAAAATACAATCAGTACAATATTATATATATATAACTTCTTAATTCTTAGCATAAGGAGCTCAACAGATTTTAGAAACTGATAAGGAAATATTTAATTCCCATTATAATTACGAAAAAACAAAAAGTATAAAGTCATGATCATATGTTAGCTACATGAATCAGACATGTTTTATCCTGCACACGTTTTTGCTTACGTGGCATATAAACAGAACGCACTCCAGAGAAAGTTCCTATTAAGTTCCCTCATTGTGCACATGTTCTCTACTGCAGCTCTCTATAATCCCCGAGGACGAAAAAGTTTCTTAACGCAACATTCATCTAACGCTCCGTGTTTCTGTTTTTGCATCTCGTTGGTGGGTGAGGGTTGCCAACTGTTGTCACCAGAGCATGTCTCCGCTTGCGGCTAGCAGAGGAGCCGCCATGCGAATGCGTAACTTGATTAAACTTAATCATAAGATTACTAAACGACAATGTTGTATACTTAACAACTATCCAAACTTTGAGGCAGCGATAAAGTTTGGTTCCACATGCTAAATTCCAACTGATAATACAATTTAATGCAAGAAAATGAAGTTAAATCCTATGTGGAATTCAAATCATTTGTCATTTTTATAGGGGAACGGCGGAGAAACACATGTAGTAGTAAAAAATTGTATTACCGAAAGAATGAAATAAGATTATATTATGCGTTGAACTGTCTTCGATTTTTTAATCATTAAAAACGATCGTAAACCACATTTTCTTGGTATTCGAATTTACGTCCAACATTTGACGAGTCATCGCACAGTTGCTGCATGTCATCCAAGTTTCATCCATCATACATGCTTTCCTACATCATCAATTTTCTAAGCATATTTTTTAAGAATTCTCTTTACAACTCACGGTTTTAATCCCCGAAAATTACACTGCGTATGAGCACCGTCAACAATCACGGCCCTGAGTTCATCTCTGCCGCATTTCTCAACCGAAACGCCTATCAAATTTCGAGCGCTCCTCCCGTCATTATGGAGCTCGGCCCCCAAGTGACGTAATAAAGAAGATTGCATGAGCGGCACTCATTTCACTTGGCGTAGGCGCAACATTATATAGTCAGTATTAACGAAAATTCTAAACATGGTCAACGTCGGCATTAACATTATATACGAAATTTGATCTTAGACGTTTGAAAGAAATCCCCTTAGGTGAAAATCTTGTGATTTTGAAACCGAGATGATGCCACATCAAATATTGATACGCCTATTATTATTTTGACTTCTTTCTAAGGTGCAACATCATAAATATTCATTATTGAATGAAACCTTTAGTTATTTAAGGAGAGTTTTCCAATATATTTTTTACTCAATATTTGCCATGGGACGGTGTCATGGACCTGTGGAATGCTTTACCTGCTTGCAAGTCACCGACGAAATTTCGTAACGTCCACTGATATTTTCACCTTTAGAAGGAGCGATCAAGCATGATGCTGCACATCTTATCTTATTTTTAAGCTTCCACTGCTAAATTTAATTTATAAAATGGTGTTATTTATTGCACTATACTGTCGATCAGCAATATTTCCTGAAGCTTTTCATTTCCCATTCTGTTGAGATTTTCTAGACAGGCCTACAACTATAGGACTGAGATTTCTCGTTATGAAATTGTACGTAATAACATCTTTTATTCTGTGAAAATATGTATAAATTTTGGCAGCAAATTGCTAACTTGCTAACGTTGTTAATAATATTAATGTACGTTTAATATGCACGGAATTTTAAACTAATTTTATAACGACTGTTCCAGCTGGTTGCAGTAGCATGGCTGACATCGCCAGCGTCGTCTCATCCAGCAGAAAATCCTGCCTCGATCAAACATGATTACACCACGGCGACGTCAGAGGATCCGCTGTCCACATTGCCGTACATCCCTCCTTCGTACACGCCTAAGCCTACAGAATTCACTGAATCTTTTACCACCTTAAAGTCGACGACAACCCTGAGAAATGATCTTCAACCTAAAAGCCATAAAGATAGAAACAATTTATCCTTACAAGATTTCGAACGCGTCGTGACTCGAGAACAAAGCCAGCCGGCAATTGAAAAAGCAATCAGCTCATTAACTAACCACGCAAATTCGACGAAAAGGTTGGATGAAAACAAAGTTTTCACTGTAGAGAATGATCGGCTCAGTGGTGCAGATTCTTATAAGGAACATCAACAGAAAGAAGATGCATCGAGTCATGGAATTTCAGACAATGCATCAAAGAGCAGCAAGATTTCAAGATTTAATTTGGAAGATCCCCGTTTTCAGGAACTGATAATTAAGGACCAAATATCCAAGCCATCCATAACCTCTCAGCCCAAATTTACAAGGGAAATTTTAAATCAAACTCAGATTGACGAAATAAATTCCGTAAAGAAATTGAATGAAGCCGTGTCCCAGCGGATTCCTAAAGAGAGTAGACAAGAATCTGCAACAACAATACTCGATTCATCACCTCCAAAAGAGAGCAAGCTTAAGTTGAAAAGAGGGACTCAAAGTTACCCTACATTCTCACAAATTTCCCCCCAGGCTCGTGGGGAATCTAGAAGCTTCTTCCTCCCCAATACGGAAGACGCTGCCGGGGAAAGACACTTTCAAACGAACCCAACTGACAATCAACAGCCTTCTCAAGACTTATACGGTCACGAAACAATACAGGTAAGATGAAGTTTTTATAAATTGTTAAAATATAGATATCTTTAGCGATTTTTATCAGTAAAACTGGAACATGGGGTATTTGTATTTTGCTCAGCAAAATGTGAGGATTTAGTACCTTTTTGCAATATTAGCTATGAAATCTAATGTTCATCTGAGGACCTGTCTCGCTTCGGGAATTATCATTTTGCGCTCATTTTGCTTGTGTCTATAGTTAGGATTTTTAAAAGCTGATCATTGTCATAATACAAAATTGCAATTTCTCAAACGGTTTGACATGCAGGGAAGGAGTACACCATTTGACTTCGCCTATCACGTCGAGGACCAACACTCGGGAGCTCAGTACGGCCACAACTCCAACTCTGACGGCACAGTAACTACCGGCGAATACAGAGTCCTGCTTCCCGATGGTCGTACTCAGATCGTCACCTACATAGCTGACCCTCACGAGGGCTTCAATGCTAAAGTCCGCTTCGAGGGAGAAGTTCAGCCTTACGAACCCCTGGTAGACGATCCCCCAGTTTATAGGACCAACACTGCATCTTTAGAAAGAGATCAACGTCCTCAAAAATTTGCCCAGAATAAATTTGTAAATGCCAGAGGAACATCATTCGAAAGTGAAAGGTTTTTCAATGAACTTGATCCTCTACAGAATACCTATCGTCCTCCTGCATTTTCAGCGCCTTTTGGCCAGGCTTTTGGAGCGGCGAATCTACACTCTCCTCAGCAATCAGGGAAGCCGAAGCCTTTGTTTGGGCATTTTGACTCCAATGATCGTCGTCAGTCTCACGTTAGGACAGAAACTCGCCAAACCGCTTACCAACCACCAGAACCTCAACTGGATTACCAGCAGCCTGGTGTTCAACAGAACTTTCAGCAGCCAGATGATCATCAGGTATCTCAGAACCATGAAATTCCACTGAATTATCAGCAGCCAAATGTTCAACAAGGATCTCAGACCATTGAAATTCCGTTGGAGTATCAGCAGCCAAATGATCACCAGGTATCTCAGCCCCCAGTAATTTCACTCAATAATCAGCAGCCAGGAAGTCAAAATATCTACCAGCAAAATGAAATTCAACAAATCTACCAGCAACCAAAAATTCCACAAAGACATCGACAGCCACAAATTCAACCAGACTTTACGCTACCACAAATTCAACACACAAACCAGAAACCGAATACTGTGCAAGGCTCTAAGCAGTCTGCAATTCATCGCAACAATAAGCAATCGAGTAGTGTACAAGGCTCTCTGCAGCCTGACATTCAACAGAGCCATCAGCCATCCGCAAATCCTTACGGCACTAAGCAACCTAAAATTAAGTATCCCAAACCAGAAGTTCAACAGAGCTATCAAAAGCCGGATGTTCAACAAGGTTATCAACAGCCAGATCTTCAGAGCTATCAGCAAGATGAAATCCAAAATAGCTATCAGCAACCAAGAATTCAACAAAGCTACCAACAACCAGAACTTCAACAAACTTATCAGCAACCAGAAATTCAAAGCGGCAATCAACAGCCAGAAGTACAACAAGGCTATCAACAGCCAGAAATTTCCCAAGACTATCACCAGCCAAATATTCAACAGGACTTTCAACATCCAGATGTTCAACAAGGCTATAATGAACCAGAAATTCAGGAAGGCTATCACCAACCAAATATTCACCAAGACTTTCAACAACCAGATATTCAAAAAGGCAAAAAGCCACTAGAAATTTCGCAAGGCTATCAGCAACCAGAAATTCCTCAAGGCTATCAGCAACCTGAAATTCCGCAAGGCTATCAACAACCTGAAATTCCGCAAGGCTATCAGCAACCAGAAATTCCGCAAGGCTATCAGCAACCTGAAATTCCGCAAGGCTATCAGCAACTTGAAATTTCGGAAGGCTATCAGCAACCAGAAATTAAAGAACATTTTCGGCCGTCAGCAGTTCTTGGGGAGTTCTCCAGCGCACCTCCTCACCACCAGCCTGACCATCCTTCCTCCCATCAAGGGCCTAACGTCCATGACAGCGATGAGCAGCTACGACCTCAGTTGGAATTTCCACCCTCAATTCCACAACAGGGACACCAGAATCTGAATTTCCAGTCAAGTTTTTTGGGTGATGGAACTCGGCCAAGTTTACAGACGTCAAAGCCTACTTTTGGATCTGGTAGACCACATCAGCAGCCAGACGCACCTCAACGATATCAAGAACCGGTAATTCCACATGATTTTCATGGACTCGTCCAGACCAATTACCAGGGTCAAGAATTGCAACAGATAAATCCTGGTCCAGTTCAGCCGAATAATTATATTCAAGATCTTCGCCAGAGTGAAGAAGCATCAAAATTTTCGCACGACGATAGCTTCCATCAATCAATTCACCGGTTTAGGCCAGAGTTGGATTCTAAACGCACACATCATCCAATCTATGAACCACCTCAGGACCAAGAGAGGTATCAACAACCTCATGCTAACGGACCAGATGAGACAGAATCAAAGTATCAGCAGCCAGGATTCCGCAATGAAAACCCAAATAGACCTCTTCATAGCAATCAAATTAGTCCTAAAGCTCGTACAAGGCTAAATCATTCGAAACTAAATTCCAAAAAGAGTCAGCGAATTACGACCGAGCACGAAGAGGATGTACCACACCAGATACAAGACGTTTTTTCTCAGCCTGACCCGAGACAAAAGTTCAGTCAACCAGAACTAGCTACAGGGGTGCGAAAACACGTAATAGATCAGTTTAGCCAAGGACCGGAAAATGTTGAGTCTCTAGAACGACAGACGCTTTCTCCTCAGTATGCTTATCGCAATTTCAAGCTACGCTCTAATGCAGAACAAAAGGAATCACAACTCTCTAGTGCTGGGTTTTCCGAAGGAGGTTACCTTCAGCCCTCTTTGAAATTCCCAGGCCAGGAGTCTTCATACAGGCAAGCAAGTGCACGTTTGCATTCGAATGAAGTGTCAAAACCGTCAACTCGTGGAAAACCTGAAGAAATTAATCTAAGTTATCAACCAAATTATCATGAGTTGACTTTCAATCAACCAGACTTCAAAGAAACATACCAGCCACCTCAGGCTGAATCGACATACCAACGACCAGAAACCCCCCAAAAATCTCAAACACCTCTGTTCGACTCGACAGACCAACAGCCAAGTAATCATGAAGTGAATCAACCATTTGATTTAAATCTGGAATACCTGCAGCCAAAATCATCTCGCCCATCGCAGAGGCCTGAACAGGCGTACGAGCTCCACGTACAGAAATACCAACCGCTTGCAGCACAGCCAGTAAATGGACAGCAAGCAAACCTAAATGCATTCCACGACCCCAAACTGCAACGCGATGATCGTGGTCTAACTTTAGGGCACGATGTGAATTCCACGCCACCCTCGTCTAAGGATTACAATTTTTTCGAAGGAGGTGACGTTTCTGCAAGTAACAAACCATCTTTTCACAACTCTGTTCTTGCCTTGGAACCTGAAATATTCGCCCTGCAGCCGGCAGTGCGACAACTAGACATTCTACCGATTGTGACTAGTTACCCTGGAGATAACAGCAAGGGCTTAGATCATTCCGCCTAAGATTTCTTAAGGCAAAATCATCTTGCACTAAATCCTGGAGCTTTCCTCAATAGTCTGTGGCGAAGGTGGCATTCTCTTTCCACCACTCGATCCTGCGATAGTCAAGTAATTCTTGAATAGCAAAGTAGTCAACAATAGGGAACGAATATTAGACATCGACTAACGATTGCATCAAATTTTCGATAAAAACATGGAATTTCCTATTACATCGTTGCATGTGCAACGATTTAATTTCTGTAATCGAAAATTGTCCTTACATGAACATTTATCATCGCAGCAATGCAAAGGTTAAAGATGATGCAATGCTGTATAAAATTTATATTGTCTTTTTTCAAGAAATACATTCAAGACAATAGCCTCTTAAATGATATTAGAGTCGGGACTTAGTTTTTTGTCAATTAAAATTAACTCTCTTTACAAGGTCTTCTGAAAATTCTGAAAAAAATAGCGCGGACGGTGGAACAAAGCATTAAGCACCCGACGGCAGCTGCATCCTCTTACATAATATTTCATTTGATTGGCTTAAATTCGGTCGAGATTAATGAATGATCTTGAAACTAAAAATTATAAAGACAATTTAAATTATAATATGCTCGTAATATATCTCTTGTAAGTAGAGGGAGTCGGATGAGATAGAAGTTGCTGAAATAGATTTATCAACTGCTGGTTTAATTTATCCCCGGGTCCGTCACACCGTAACAACAGCGGGGTTTGATAACACTTCCCTCCATCACGCGATAACAACAGCGGAGTTGAAACTGACGTTCATCACGCACTAATTAACCATCGATAAAATCCTGTAATCAATATTAATAACAGACGAATAATATTCTGATTAAATGGCAAGAGAACATCGTTAAAGAGGCATAATAAATAGAATAGGTTCAAAACGCGTAGCATTCTATCAGAAATAATTAACAAAGAACCTCACGGTCGAAAACGTATCTGGTAAAAGAATACATACCATCAAACATATCATCGCAAACATTACATTGTAGAGCCTATGATATCTGGTGCATAGTCGTTTTTATCCGTTCTCATCCTTTTTCGAGTATATTTATTTTTCACTCACCATAAAACTTACGCGTAACTTGCCCTCGAAGCTCATTTGAACCAGACACCACGATAATTGCTTAAAAGAATAATAATAATAACAATAATAATAATAAACCGGCGCAAGATTATGCAATCAACATGAAAATCCAAAATCCCAGCATAAGTCAGCCATTCATGTGGTCCTCCAATTATTGGGTAGTTCATAACATATCGAGCTCGCTATGTAATTCTATTCAGACTCGCTGCATCGCCAAGCTCAAATTCATGCATTCAGGCGCAAATTCATGATCCCTGTTGCTGCTAAAGCCTCGACTACGGTGGGTATACGTGCTTGGATGACGCCTATTAATATAATGGATTAGTAAGTGATTAGCTGATGTGACTAAGATTTATATTATAAATAAAGAATCTGATATATGCAAGAATATGACCAAAATATTTACAAAGTATTCATAGAAAAGATTTTGCGACAAATCCCGCCAACTAGGATGATCATCGTAATATTCCCGACTAGGAATTTGTTACATGATCTGGAATACTTACAAAAAATCCAAGTAAAAAAATAATAACATTGCTACAAGTTATATGACAGGTCACTTTGGACAAGAGTGAAGGAGAGGCCGGAGAAGCACGTGCTCCAAACATCGATAGTTCGAGTTTGGCAGGAGTACCTCGAAACTTAAAGGGGGACAGGTAGAAGAAGCAGCTGGTGTGAAGAGCAGAAGAGAGTAGGAGGCAGAAGAGATTAAGAGGATGCATAAGAGAGTAGGAGGAGGCAAAAGAAAGAGAGTAGGAGGAGGCAGAAGAGAGTAGGAGGAAGCAGAAGAGAGTAGGAGGAAGCAGAAGAGAGTAGGAGGAGGCAGAAGAGAGTAGGAGGGAGCAGAAGAAAGTAGGAGGGAGCAGAAGAGAGTAGGAGGGAGCAGAAGAGAGTAGGAGGGAGCAGAAGAGAGTAGGAGGAAGCAGGAGAGAGTAGGAGGGAGCAGGAGAAAGTAGGAGGAGGCAGATAGGAGTATCAGAAAGTAGGTGGATGCAGGTAGCAGTACTCAAAGCAGGTGACAGAAAGATTCGGTAACAAAATATTCGATGGTCCCGTTAGTGCCGCAGGTCGACGACCTCAACGGTACCGTGGTCGTCCATGACTGCGTGGTCAGCTTCCTGTTCAATAAACAAACGTTCAATGTAACAAATGATTTCAATACGACACTTGAGAATTCATGTTTCAAAATTAACACTCGATTATTCAGACATTGAGCTGTTCGAAATACACAGAGTTAAGGAATTCTCTATTATTTGTTAACTTAGAAAAATATCTGAACATATCAATGCAGCACGCGAAATGCTGCCACCGAAGCAGCTGGATATTGATGTAAGTATATGCACAATTCAATTATATAAATTTTAAACATTACACTTCAAACCAAAATACCGGAGCATCGCAACTTAAAGTATTGATGTCACTAGATTGCTTAAACCGCAAATTCACTAAAAATTTAAAAGGGAACAAAACTCCACGCAAAGTGTGGAGTTTTCTTCGCAGCAAATTTTTAGTTAACTAAATGTAAAGTCGGTGAAGACCTTTAGATTTTAGATTAGGTTCATTGCAATAACAAGAATTGATCAAGAGGAAAATCCGTAATCGTGATTCCGATCATTTGTTCTGTAGAGTGAAAACCATCACTATCAGAATCATGGCAAGAGGCACTGTGGAGTGACCCGACACAATCAATCAAAATCAGAGCAAATGGCAGACCTTAAAGAGTGGAGGCTTGGCAGGGTGCGGATGGAAGCCAGTCTCCCTGCAGTCCGCAATAAAGTCCAGTCCGTAGTCAGGCGTGAGCGAGAACACGGCGTTGTGGTCGAACTTGGGAGCACACACCACCGCCACCGCCTCAGGCATCATGAGCTGGTAGGAGCAGTGCGTGTGCAGGTCTACGCTCGACAGGAACGCCGTCTGACTTGGATGTGTCTGTTGGAATTGGGGACGAAGTCAAGAAAGGGCTAAACATGCGTGCCGAACGCGATAGAAGTTGTTAGTTACAGAAATAAACATTTGCTACATATTAATAGTATTATTTTCAACTAGTGCACAGCAATGTTGCCACATTTAATCTCCGATATTGAAATAGCTGATGACATTTGCTACATATTAATGGTATTATTCTCAACAAGTGCACAGCAATGTTGCCACATTTAATCTCCGATATTGAAATAGCTGATGACATTTGCTACATATTAATGGTATTATTCTCAACAAGTGCACAGCAATGTTGCCACATTTAATCTCCGATATTGAAATAGCTGTATTAAGACAGGGTTTCAGATTTATGGGCCAGAAAGACAATAGTGAAGCAAGAGCATAATTGGCGGAGCTCGGTTGAAAGGCTGAGCGAAATAGCTCAAACTGTACAAATTCAATGAGATTTTGCGTGGAAGCTATGGATGAGACTTTTAGAGCAGGAACCGGTAAATAGTACTTGTTGTTAAACATTCTGAAATGAATACCATGCAATGGACACCATCTTCTTGTTGGTAAGCATTCAGTTTTTTTGAAATGAATACCATGCACCGTGCTCGAGGCAGACTAACGCATGAGCAGCACTGACGTGTATCCAGCCGAGCGTGATGATGCCGTGCTGATCCTGCACGGCGAAGAGCCTCTCCTCCTCATGTGTTGTGCAGGAGTCAGCCGTGCCGCTCTGCTCAGGTATCAGCAGGTGCGTCGTGCACAGCTCACCTTGGCGCTGTCAATGCGTAACATTAGACAGCATGAGATGCGGATGTCAGCAAAAAACAGCATACGTCAGATAAAGTCACATAATTCAGCCTGAGCCAGAAAACTTCAGCATGCACCAGCAGGCAAGTCTATGAGCAAGACACAACACCAGGTAAAAAAGGAATGTGGGGTGAGTAAAATGACTCAACATGAGAGGTTATAGTGGTTCATGAATACCTCAAATGGTTCGTTCATCTAAGCCTGCTTACCTCCAAGTACAGCACTAATTTCCATTCATGAAGACAAAATTGAAAGTCTTAAGTCCATCAAATTGCGATACGGTTACGATTGAAATTATTAGTACCCATTAGTCAAAACTGAACTGATATTTAATCATATGCAAATGAAGATGAAATGCATTGAAAACCACCGAATAGCGTGCAAGCAACAATCTATTGAGAAGAATTACACAAGACAGGAGAGACATTCACCAACCACCACGCACCACAATGCCGGCCAAGACCCAGCACCACGCACCACAATGCCGGCCAAGACCCAGCACCACGCACCACAATGCCGGCCAAGACCCAGCACCACGCACCACAATGCCGGCCAAGATGCCGCAGGTCTCGACGTTGTTGCGGGTATTGGGAGCGGCGATGTCAAGGAAGCGGGTGACGAGAGCCGTGGGGATGCGTACACGACGAAGGGCGCCGCCACCGCCACCCAGCAACGACAGAGGCTTGTTCGACCGATCTACTGACGGTGCGCTTGAGCTGTTCAATAAAAACCCAGGCAAAAGAAACAAAGACTTTAATTGCGACTGTCATTGAGGTAAAAAAAAAACAAGAGATATAACACCAAGATTTACTCGCAATTGCCATGGAGGTGACATAAACCAAGAGATAGAACACCAAGACTTGAATTGCAACTGCCACAGCACTGGTGAGTTATTCTGAAACAGACATCAGCTTAAAGATATCTATTCAAAGATTTACACAAAAAGGTGAGGCTTGGACTTTGCTTTTACCCGCAAAAAGAATAATTCATTAAAAATGAGGGACGTCATTTGAATTAGTTGTGTTAGAAGTTAAGAATAAATATAATTAGTATGTTTAAAATAAACATCCAGCTGAAGCCTTTATAAACTAATGCCGAAATACCTTATTATTATTATTTTTTGCTGTATCTTGAAAAATATTAGTTACTTACCTGTCTTACCCAGTACCTGATTCATCATCAAACTATTCACTAGTTATAAAATAAGTAGAGGCCAAGTAAGAAGGTAATGCATTAACCTGGGAGTGTGGGGTTTGAGGGAGCGTGAAGGAGCCTGGGGAGGATCCCGTGGCGACCTGAAGGAAGTGTCCTCAGGGGCTGAAGGATGAGCATCATATGCACACTGAGGGTAGAGATTGCTGCTGTCCTCTGTTGTGCTGTTGCTGTAATAAAAATAATTACAAAGCTACAAGTAGTTGCCGATTTTAGGCATTAAAAGAACTCCAGCACGAAGTTGTGCGAGAACAATTACTAAATAGCAGTCTTTGTGAACTAAAGATTAATCAAAATTAATTTTTGCCTGAAGTCATAATCTATACATTCACTTAGGATAATATGGTACGATACCAATATCAAAAACACTTTTCCCATTGACTACCTTTCACACAGCATGATCTTTCAACTCGAGTACAAAAATTTGTAAGTCAACTTAAGCAGAGTGAGATCTATTGACAGTGGCTCACTCAATGCAAGGTGGGGCATAAATAGGAGGTGTGGCTGGTCGAGGCGGCAGTACAGGAGGAGCAGAGGGCGAGAGAGGGTAACGTGACGGGGACAGGTCCTGAGAGCCTATAATACTGGGCTGATGATGCCTGGCAAGCTCAGCTTCTCTGAGCTTTCTTGAATTCTCTGCTTCTTGTGCTCGAGCTTTTTCAATCTCTGCTTCTATCCGAGCCTGAAAAAGTACTTGTATATCTGTTACAACAATACATGACAATAGGGATAGATATTTCCCATAGCTTCAGAGTTAGGAAGAGATAAGTGTCATGAACAAAACAGAATAGCAAGTTTACATGATGCTATTGTCAATAACTAAGTGGTAAGCATGAAGGAAAACTCCCTACAACAAATAGAGACTTAAGGCAATAAGACCATGGTTGGATGATCTCAGGAACATGCAATTGGAGCAAAGTACAGTCGGATTGCACCCTACAGCCACTTTTCAGTCACAAACTGAAATAATAAAATCATATAAAAATCAATCATAGCACCATCAGGCCTTTGCAAGTTAACATACGAGTCAGCAAAGAGTTAATAATTCTTCATGCATTGCTCTTTTAAATGATAAGGTTTGTCTGTCTGCAATGCTACATACCTGCTCCTCTCTGAAGGTGTTATATTCTTCTTCAAATTGTTTTAGCAGTTTACTCTTGAGAGTCTCAGCAATAGGTAGTGTACTCTGGAATATATTAATACCAATGCATCATTCCTTGTGGCAAAACATGATTTGAGTATGGTAGTATCCTTAGGTATCCTTGGTAGTTTCCAATGATACCTTGGTTACCCTCTCTTGCCCAATTTATGGTAGTATCCTTAGTAAATATGGGATATGATTATTCAACACCTAAATAAATGATTTAAGTGATTCCCTGTAATAACTTGTCTTACTGATTCATATCATCAAGACAAAATATTACTGTAATCAAGAAATTAAAATTCAGTGGAACAAAAAATAAAGTTTATTCAAACTGTTATATAGGTACTACCGTACCTATATATAAGTGGTACTCAATTAAATGACAAAATTCTGCTGTAAAAATAAATCAGAATTAATAACAAATTTATACAACCCCAGAAAGTTGAATACTAACCATACATTTTTTCTTAGTTTTCTGCTTTTGCTCATGAGAAAAAGCAGCATATTCAGGATGCTTGGATATTTCTTCTAAAAATAATCTGAAATAGAGTAAGAGTAATTAATTATCCTGGAAAATATTTTGCTGACTGATTCATGCAAATTTTACTGAATGTATACCATACAAAGCAAAAAGCTCAAAAATTATTTCAAGTTCCACCAGAGTATAAAATCTCAAAAAATAATTGCAAGTTCCACCAAAGCAAAATTACTTCATGCCACATTATTGTTACCTACAACCTGAACTTCATTCAAGTAATCAAGTGATTTATACAAAACATGATAATATTGGAAAATTATGTGTGGAAAATAAATTTGAAGAAAATAACACTACCTTGAAACATCAATAATTGGATCAGTGATACTTACACCATGAAGCGCATATAAAACATATATGCAAGCTCATAGTTCTTTTCTTCATGATAAACCACAGCCATCCGCACCAGCTCCTGGCCAGAACGATAATATCTGGAAAATAATACATCAGATAGAAACTTATCTTGAGACTGCATCCTCTGACTGCCCGGTGCAAGTTTTACAAAAGTAAAGCAAACAATGAATCTGCTTAAATATTTTTCAAAACAATCTGATTTTAAAGTCAAACCAATAAAATTTAAATGGTTTTATTTTTTGTATGAGATTTGTTCTCATTATTTTTATTGATAAATTAAATTTTCTTACTTTGAAGTATTATGATACACTAATACCGGTATAATTGATAATATTTGTTAATGTAATAGAGATAATACAGCTAGCAGAAATCTTGCATTTGCAGCTTCAAAAAATGAAAGTAAGCAAAGATGTCGACTTGCTGCTCATTGCTCAAGATTGAAAATTTCCAAATTACAACTGAAATTTTACACTTCTAACTGATAAACCATCAATCGGGGTAATAAGGGACAGTTTTGAGCATTTTTTGTTCATAACTTCTTACAATGAAACATTTCATAAAAAAGTTTGCGCTCATTTTAAAGGTATTTGCGAGGGCTATTGCATGGCACCTCCAAAAAAATTCTATATGTTACTGTCAAACAGGGTAATAAGGGATGGGCAGGGTAAATCAAGACAGTTGTCCCACATTTTATAGAAATGTTGTAGCAGCTAAACTAATCAAAATATTTCAAAACTAAAAATAGTGGAGTAAAGTTTAACACTTTTACTATCCATTATGCCATAAGCAAATAAAGAAATCATACATTTACTACCTCTAAAAAATCCCTGAAAAAAAGTGTGAAAAGTGTCATTTTAGAAAAGTACCACTGCTAAGGTCTGTAGCAAAAAAAAAAATATTTGCTGTAATAAAAAAATTTCTCATTTAAAAGTTGCACAAAGGTGTCAGCTTAAAAACGTGATTGATGGTATTTGCATATCTCATTTCAATAAAAAATGCTGGCCATTTCTGCCAGACAGGGTAATAAGGTACACCCCCCCTTCCAGGATAATAACTGACACCCATAAAAACGCATTTACAGTAGAACCTTGATTGACAAAGGCTCCAGTTAACAAAAAAAAATCAATTAACAACAAAGAATTTTGATTACATTTACCTTGCTCAGCAAAAAATTTTTCACTAAACAAAAAATTAATCCATCATCGGTCATCACAAAATTGTGCATAGAATGTCATAGATAGAACTGTGCACTGGATAACATAGAATAAAAAGTAATTAACCTAAACTATGATTTACTTCTCCAAAAAAATGATGGTTGTCACTAAAATATTCCTTTCTGTTTCAGGTATGTTTTTTACAATCTATTTTGTTATAGTGAAATCACTTGACCCAATTAAAAGGGAGTGAAATTACAAACCATCCTGCAAGCTTACAGCTACAGAAGAAATGCTATATGGCTGCTGACATGAAGCAAGCAATGGACAAGGTCATTGTAACTGCTCAATGGCATATTCATGGATAGGTTACAGTTATACCTACGTATTGCATAAATAATGTGGTAATGTATGGATATGGTAATATATCAATAAAGAAAAATCAAGTAAAAATCACAGAAAATGTCATTTATTCTATATCTACATCATCTACAAAGGAAGAGAAGGACTTCAGAGTACTGTTAGTAATGGATGAGTACAAAGTGGCATTCTATCAAGGGAGGTACCGTATATAGGTACTTTTGCCAGTCTGCCTCGAGCCTTTGTTCTGGCACTTTAGCCCTTGTAATACCTATCCTTGAATACTGCCGCCAGCTCTGGACTCCGTTCACACTAAGCGCAATACGGCAACTGGAAGGAGTCCAACGAACCTTCACTTCCAGGATCAGAGGGATGGAGAACTACTGGGAGAGGTTGCAGCAACTGGGTCTGTACTCACTGCAGAGGAGATGGGAGAGGTATGTCATTCTGTACACATGGAAAATGATAACCGGAATGGTGCCAAACTTAGAGAGCGAGACTTTCAGGATTAAGACATATCACAACTAGAGAAGGGGTAGACTGTGCAAGATTCCCCCACAACGTAACAGATCCGCAGTCAGATTTCAATCCCTGCAGGAAGGATCACTTTCCGTGGTAGGGCCAAGGCTGTTGAACGCCCTACCAAGGGATCTAAGAGAGGGGGAGTTCACCCTGGAGACCTTCAAGAGACAACTGGACGTGTTCCTGGACACAATCCCAGATCGACCTCCCTTGCAACACTACTAGCGGCGAGAAGCAAGCAACAGCATCGTGCATCAGGTGGCTCAAATGAGGGCGGATGAACAATGATCAGAGGCAGCGATCCATTGTGGCCTGGGACTGCTACGTCCCAAACAAATACTAAGGATACTAAGGACTAAACCCAACCCACAGCCCCTATCAACGGTCTATACCCAGCCGTGGGCTTCTGGGCCCTGGCAACTCCCTCTCGACCTGTGGAGTGTTTCGAAATTGATATAAATAAAAAAGTACAGATTTGAACTGTGAAATTTCTAAGTTGCTTCCATTTGTTCCAAAATGCCATAAATGACTTAAGAAATCATAATTTAGGTTAATTACTTTTCATTCTATGTTGCCACTTGCCCATTGTTCATTTCTATCTATGACTTTCTATGCACAATTTTGTGATAACCAATGATGCATTCATTTTTCAATAAGTGAAATTTTTTTGCCGAGTGAGATAAATATAATCTAAATTCTTTGTTGTTAATTGATTTTTTGTTATCTGGAGCTATTGCTAACCAATGTTCTACTGTAAATGCGTTTTTAGGGGTGTCCCTTATTCAGAAATGGCTGCCATTTTTGGGGGAATGAGCTACCGTTACGCAAATTTTGTCACCACATTTTTAAGCCAACACCTGTGTGCAACTTTTATGTAATTGAAATTATTTAATACAACAAATTTTTTGTTTTTGCTACAGACCTTAGCAGAATTACACTTTCAAAATCTCACTTTTCACTTTTTTTAGAGATTTTTCAGAGGTATGGTACTAGTAAATGCATGATTTCTTAACTTGCTTTATGCTACATAGATACAAAAAAATGTTGAACTTTATGCCACTATTTTTAATTTTGCAATATTTCAATTAGTTAGTTGCTACAACAGTTCTATGAAATGTTGAAGGACTGTTCAATTTATCCTACCCATCCCTTATTGCCTCATGCTGCCACTACTGGCAGTCTGGCACTAGTATTAGCCCAGGCATGGAATATATCTACCTGGCAAGCCACGACTAGATTTTTTGAGCCGTGGCTTCATGGGTTTGCCAGCCATGATTCCATTTCTTTGAGCTGTGAATTCCATTTCTCCCCCGTGAAAAGCCATTTATGACCCGCGAACTTGTTATTCACAAAGTCATATCTCTCCCATCATCAGTCCCATTCATACAAAGAACCTCGTTATTTACAAAGTCCCATACAAAAATCAGTCACTAGATTTTTCTTCACTTTAGCGGCAACTGTCCAAGTGATACCGCTAATGCAGTATGACCATCCTGACGTAACTGCAACTACGCAATCTTCATGGGGGAAACGTTTTGAGTTGACTTATTATGTTCTGCATGTTGTTTTGGCAGGAGGCGGGAGCATTGAAGTATCTAAACCAGTGGTTCCCAAAGTGGGCGATATCGCCCCTCTGGGGGCGGTGGAAAGATCTGTGGGGGCCTCTGGAAAGATCTGTGTTAAACCTTTCTCTTTCAAAAGTGCAGCATACTAAATATCAAGAAAGAGGCGTTTGTTTTTTCTATGTGTCTGTGGTGGGGGTTGCTGGAGATTCACTGAGGAGCCAAGGGGGGGGGGGGGCACCAGCCTGAAAAGTTTGGGAACCATTGATATATACTGTGGATTGCGGAAGTTGAAAATTTTATTAAACAACATGTTTGCGAAGAGCAAACTGCAATTTTATCGATAAAAAAAATTCATGACATTGGAACCGTGAGATTTCATACCTACTGAAATTATATGAAATTATATCAGACTGGACTTTTATATCAAAAATTGGACTTTTCCAGCCCTGTAATTAGGTATCCTAATCTCAAGTGTTGAAATTTTAAGTGCTAAATTTTCTGTAATTCTGCATTAGTGATCACTGACATAGTGGCAATTGGCAAAGCAGCAATTTTTTTGGACTCTTCAACAAGTTCATTTTTGAGTCCTATAAGTAGACCAGGAAAGTATCTTGGATACTGTAAAATGGGGTAACTTAGACCACTTTTTTTTATAAATGATGCCATTCTTTTACTAGCTAAATTAAACTTGAATTGAAACGTGCAAAATACAGGTCTATACTCTAGCTTCACTCACCATAAATTGCTGGCTTCTGCCTCTCATAGTCTTTATGTAATTTCAAAAAAAGTGATGGTCTTTGTTACCCCAGCTCTTGGGGTATCTTAGACTGGGTGGTAAAATCAATTATATTTTTTGGTAAAATAACTCCAAATGGATTTGGATTTGGGGCGTGGTGACTGGTGACTCTGAAGGGAAAGAACGATATTTCAGAGTCAGGCCTTTGCAACGGCCATCAGCCATGCATCACATTTTCATTTGTTAGTAGAAAGGAGGAAAAAAGGGAAACTATAAACAGCAAGGAGGGTGTGAAAGTTCGTGTTAGGGGTAAGATGAGAGTTAGGTGAAAGGGAATCAAGAGGAAATTCATATGGTTTATTATTGCTATATCTCAGTTTTTGCCCTATGTAACTTTACATTTACGTTAGTTATGTGGCCTCTAACGCCCTAAGTGACTATCTGTGTTATATTGAATTATTATGGTTTGCTTTTTCTATCTCTATTACCGTAAAATGGGGTAACTTAGACCGGCGGGGTAACTTAGACCACTTTTCGTTTTTTTTACAAAAACCCCCACAACTCAAAAACTATTTGACATAGAAAAATTTTGTCAATGGGCATTAAAGGCCTAATACCTGTCTCTTATACACATCTAGATGTGTATAAGAGACAGGCTTTGACATGACCGCAACTATGCGCGATCTTCAACAAACGTTTTGTTTATTTGTTTACATTACGATGTTTATGTTTTTTCTGCAAGATATTTTTGGCGGAAACGGTAAAGCAATGCGGATTGCGGAAGTTGAAAATTTTATGAAATGACATGTTTGCGAAGTGCAAACCGCGATTTTTTAATCAAACGAAAATTTATGACATTCGAGCCACGAGATTTCATACCTACTGAAATTAGGTATATGATATTAGAGCCGCGATATTTCAGACAAAAATAGGACTTTTCCAGACTAGCACTAGGCTAGTAGGCTGACTAGGCTCCTACTCCTAGTATTTTCATTTCAATTTAATTTCTGATGGACTATTAAGAATGAACAATCTAGGTATTTAAAATTAATTAGGAATTTTTCAATTAAAATCAAAAGTTTAAATTTTATTTATATAATTATAACTGTACCTGCGAATGGGTATTGAAGGTTCAACACTGACAGTACTGCTCTTCATGAGCTTTTTCATTCGCAATTCAGGCTCAAGTACTATCTCCAACTCACGAGATGAAATTTCTCTACCATGTCCACAATGAGCCATAATTTTACTATTATACTATCAATGAAGAATGAATTAGACTACTGAAAAACAAGTGACAGTATCAACTATTAACATTTAACCCAGAAATGTGCAATTCATGTTTGAATTTCAGGCAATCGTAAATTGAAAATCAACGTGCTCTTACGAAGCATTTCAACTATTTCATACTATCATAGGCGGATGATAGGCCTACTATGATCGTAAAACATGGACAGTGATGGACTTCGTAAATTCGTCAACAGAACTCAGAACAGCATATATATTATAGGTTTGATATCGTGTGAAGCTTCTAATGGAAAAATTTACTCATTTAATGGTATAGGTGGATAGAGATAACAAATATTTATTTGAGATCAACGATAGCCAAGTGAAATCAAGTTACTCAACCATCTAACTTGACCCAGCACAAATGTTCTATTTACAATAAACAGGCTTTCGTAGAGGACCAGATAAGTCACCGCGGACGGCATTCGCGAAAGAAGTCGCTGAGAAGCGTAAGTAGTTGAGATAAACTGAAGTTGGGAAATTATGTTCAAGTTTGGCGTCAGAGTATTCTACTAGTAAGCAGCTAATAAGCTGTTAACGCTGAATTAAAAGAAATTTTGCAAGTTTTTTTTCACTTATCCCACATTCGTAATTTAAACAGCAAGCGGAAACAGCTCCTTATCGAACCCGGTGGAAGTCTAGTAGCTACTTCAAACTATCGCCAGTCATGAAAAGATCCGGTCAAATGACACGAGTTTAGATCTATGAACAAGGCACGAAAAGGAAAAGAATCGGCGACAGGCCACATCAGGCCTACACTTCAGCGCCGACATCACTATGTTATGTTCTGTTAATACATGCTTAAATTCGCAATGAGCATAAAATTTCTCATAATACACTGTACAGATTTCAACGAAATTTCGTATATGAATACCTAACCTCCATACGGTGATGTTTAGCTCGTTACAATTTTTCGATTTTGCCTTCGTTTGTTCAAAATCGGCCTGATAAATGCCGGTCGTTTCTCCGTATATCCGTGTTACTCGCAAACACCTCTCGGACAAAAATGCAGCCTGTCTCACGGCCGTGTCTCAAGAAATTCATCGTACATGGAGTATCTTCCAAACTACTGAACCGATTTCAATGAAACTTGGAATATAGATTCTTGACCACCTAAAGGTGATGTCTAGCCCGCGCGCTTTTGTCCGAGAGGTCTCGCAAACGATGTCGAAATCGAAAAAATTTGACGAGCTAAACATCACCGTTTAGACTTTAGAGGTTAGGCATTCATATAAGAAGTTTCGTTGAAACCTGTTCAGCATTTCATGAGAAATTCTATGCTCTGCGAATTTAAGAACGTATCGCTGTTTAAATCACAAATGTAGGAAAAATGAAAAAAAATTCGTTAACGAAGGCAAATCGAAAAAATTGTCACGAGCATTGTCATCACCGTTGAAAGGTTAGGTTTCTACTATATTCAAAGTTTCGTTCAAATCTGTACAGCAGTTTAGATGAAATGTCATGCTCGCTGCAAATTTCGGCACGTAACGTCTTATAACTCACGAATGAAGGTGAAATTCCAAAATTGTTCACGAGCTAAACATCACCGTTAGGTCCTAATGAATACGTGTTCGAAGTTTTATCGAGCTACGCTCATTACTTTGAGAGATATTCCTTGCTCACTGAATTTGGGAAGACCGCCTGCGAATCAGGCCGTAAATTTGTCCGAGACGTAATATTGCGATCAGAATATTTATTTGTAGTTATCCGATTTTTTTGTGCCCAGAATTATTCGATGCGACAGCAAAAAAGACAAGCAGTTGACTAACCGCGTTTGTAAGATTTCTTTTCGATGTTATTAGTCCTCTCGAGACAGTATACTGAAATTTGAATAATGTTTTTTTTTCTCGGGAGTGGGAAAACAAGTGGAGGTGGATATTTACCTGGCACATGACCTATCGCGACTTCAGCTTTTGGTTTATAAACAAAGTGGTGGTCTGAAGCGCGGCACAAGCTTTTCGCTTGTGTCTAAAACAACCTCTTTTTATTTACTGACCCGCGTCAGCAACGAAAGGAAGAACAAAGAAGGAAACAACTCTTTAGTATTGTGGGCCTGTTTTCTTATGTCTGTTTTCTTGTGTCTGAAAACGTACTTTACCGCGTCAGCTGTTACTGGACCCCAGACTCAAACACGCAACCAAGCTCGCTCTAATATAGTTCATTACAAGCAGCAACTTCAAGGACAGAAACTTCACGGCATCAAGCATCTTGTGTATCGCTGCTTCTCAAATATTAGAGCAGTGACGTCAATCAATAGTGCTTCTGTTTTGAATAATTTATTGGATATGTTTGGTACTCGGACAGCGGTGGAGTCGGAATTAAACAGCTCATGCAATTTGTTGCGTAACTCATAATTGCGACATTGCATCATGCAATTTCAACTTTGCCTTGCAAATCGTGAAAGTGAAACCGGACCCTGCATGCAAACATCTTAACGAGATCTTCAGACTTTTGCTAGAACTTGCGAATACTTTTCGCTAAACGTGAAGAATAGTTTAACTTTTGCCAAATCACGACACAGAACGGAAATTCTGCAAGTGTCGTGTGATTTTTATTTCATTTAATTTTGTGCCAAACCAGTTAGGATTTCAGAGAAACCGAGTGTTGAAGCGTAGCAGGAAATACCTTTTCGTTTGTCTGACCAAATAAGCTGATGGGGGCTGAGTGGTCGTTGCCCCTCGGGTCTCGGGGATAATCAAGGGTATAACGAGTCATGAAATCTAGCTGTCCTTTAAAAATGTAGACAAATAAGTTATGTATCAGTGGAGAATTTCGCACGATAACTGCAGTTTTTGGAATATTTAAAGCTCTCAGCATGGACATGGCATGAAAATAATCACAAGCATTTATTTAAACCTATTTCTAGGCAGCAGTTGGTTTTTATGGTAAACGTTTTATTTTTTAACAGAGAACATTCGCGTTCACAAAATTCTTTTTCTGACACGAATAATAATTCCCGACCTGATTTGCAATCACACAAATCACGAGTTCAGTGCATACGTGGCTTTGAACTTTCCTTCATCGCGTGATATTTACAGAAATAGATGCACATATCTCTCATATTTATGGTCATGTAAGAGTCATCGACCTGCAGACTGAAATTCGAGGATATTTTTGATCTCATCGCTCCATCCCATGCACGGCCACGGGTCATACAGAAACCCCATCAATGATCGAGAACTTCAAAATTAACGAACATTTTTATTTCTTTCTTCTCACTAGGTGCACCCGAGCTTGACCTTCGGATAAACTTCTGATGGCGAAACCAAAAACAAATTTAAAAAAACGTTCTCAGGTGTTTTTTTTTCAGTCCTCGTAACGATTAAGATAAAAATTTGAAACGAAACATCGTCGACTTTTTGTCGCATGATCAACGGCAAACAATAAAAGGTTCTGTTTTCAGTCAATTTGAAAAGTGGTGAATACATGATTGAATTAAGTAACAATAACTAACAGCCTCTTACAGGTTATCATGAATGAATAATGAAACGAATATCCTTAATGTAACGAATCACCCCAGTGTAACGATTAATTTCTAGTCCCAGTGGGTGTGCAGCCCCAGGTTTCAACCGCCGTCAAATCTGCTGGCAAGTAGCGAGGGGATCTCCCGGGTGCGGGCTCTAAAGGTCAGGGTTGCGCGAAGATCTCGCAAGAATTCACTCGAAACATTGAATAAATTTTTGATGTTCATTCATAAAGAAATGTTTGATAAAATTATACGTGGAGAGATGGATAGAATATTGGAATTGAATACATGGGAATTCTTTTGAAGAACTAATGTCATTTAATTTTCGTTGAGAAGATTAATCATTCACTGACAGACGATGAAATGACAGCATATCCACAGAAGATCGGCCTGCCTATTTAAAAACTGCGATTGGCACGCACATTTGAAATTCCGAATTTGGATTGACTTATTGAGTTAATATTTCACTGTAGATCGGAATAACTTTCAAATAACTTATAAAATCACACGAGATTTTAAGCGTTTCTTCTACAACCCATTTGAATGATCATATCCAGTGTCCACAGCGACGAAGATATGAAGTGGTTCAGCCTGAAACCAGGCTCAGAGTTGATTTAAATTTTGTAGTCCGCGAACACTGCTTGATTGCACCAACGGTTGGAATTCGGCCCAACCCTGATTTCCGCTCCACCCAAATGTGGCATAATCAAGCATGGGGCAAGAATGAAACATGAGAAGTATCGGTCCTAAGGTCCTAGAACTTGCACATCAATGAGACATGTAGACAAGCAGCAGGAAAGACACAGTATAGTGTTCACGACACAGTTTTCACGAGAACACAGTAGGGTTTCCGATGCTTTCACCTAATTAGCCCCATATTGTCCTCAGTATTTTCCCTTTTTCTTTATCTTTTCCGGTAAACGTTCTGCGGGTCTATTAGTCTTAAATATTTGCCACAAATAATCCCCATTTGCCATCATCCGCCATTTAGAGGCAACTAGCCTCTACCGGGCAGAGATAACAAATTTGCGCTTCATAACTTGGTGCTTTAATGGGAAGTTTTCGCTTTAAACTCTTCTACTCATTTTAAGAGATTTTCAACTGTAAAAAACTAAAAATTATAATCGCTGGCGATTCTTTGTCTCTAGCCTCATTCACGGAGTGTCTTCTCAGCTAGGCCGCACCTCATGACTTCGGGAAGCTGTCACTGAAAGCACTGCACAAGTTTTGTCTGAAAATTATTGAGGTTACAGGTAAGAATATAATATTAAAGGATGATTCTGTGAGCTGTTATGGCGCACCCTAGTTATGAGATGACCTAATTCATTAAATGCACCGTCGATTGATATGCGATCCGGCATAATAAGGAGTAAATGCGTCTTTCTTCCTCATTAATTCATACGATTAAGGCTGCATAAGTCGTGCTGATCACAGAAGCCATGCGTTAGGAAACTTCAAGCGTCTAAGTGGAGTTAATTTCATTTGTCACTTCTACTTAAAATTGCGCACTGGTTACCGCAAAAATCATCTAAA